CTTCGGGCAGGCTGCCCACGGCGGGCGGGCAGGCCGCGCTGCACGCTCCAGGGCTGGGGGTCCGTGGCGAGGGGGTGCGTGACGATCGGTTTCTATGGAGGCCTATCTCAGTCAAGACGGTGGCGGATTAGCGGTACACGGCGGCAACTGGGCGACGACAAGAAACGGGTCTTGCGCAAGACGGCATGGCGATCTCACGCGGTGTCTCACGCGGGCCGCCAGCGCGGCACGCCACACTGGAAACGAGAGCGCTTACGCGCAACCTTACGCGGGCAGATTACGAGCGAATGTCTGCGCAGTCGCTCAATAGCGGCAGATAACGGCAACCGAGCAGCCGCAAATAGCGGCAAACGCCCCGCGCTGGCCGCAGAAAAAAAAGCTGCTTGTGACATTCAAGACTTCATGTTTATTTCTTGATATATACACCAAAAACACCCAAGGAGCGGGCAAGGCAGCTAGGAGTGCTGCCCTGGGCTAAGGCCGCTGCAGCGGGGGTCCGCAGGAAGCTCTGGCACGCCCAGATTCGTGGGCGGACAGGGGCAGGAGGCGATCGCTTGCTGAAGCAAGGAGGCGTTTGCGGCAGAGACGGATGTGGGGGGCCACAGCGAGAAGAAGGCAATCAGGCGTAGACGTAACAGTTCCAGGAACGCGCGGTTCCCGAACGATGCCCTCGGGCGCAACCGTCATCACCATCACAATCATCACCCCAAACACCCAAATTCCCCAACATTAGCAACAACAACATCATCATCATCATCGTCATCATCATCATCATCATCATCATCATCATCATCATCATCATCATCATCATCATCATCATCATCATCATCATCATCATCATCATCATCATCATCATCATCATCATCATCATCATCATCATCATCATCATCGTCGACATCGTCGTCATCACCATCGTCATCATTATCGTCTTCGTCATCTTTATCCTCGTATCCATTCTTATCCACAACTGCACCTGATGAGTACTCTACTCTCCCCTGATTATTGTCCTCCTTCTTACATACAGGATTTCGAGCATCGACGTTCGTCTGGGTTTTGACAATCCGACTCTTCCCGGTGTTTCAAAATGGTGCTCCTGAAGCAGCGTGAGTCCCATTTTCGGATCGGAACTTTGCTCCCGTTGTTCAGAATGGCGCTCTTGCCTCAGCGCCGGCCACTTCTATGGATCCGAATCCTTATTCATCGTTGTCGCCCCCCTCATTTCCCCTCCTCCGCCTTCCCCAGTCCTCCTGCTCCTCCTGCTCCCTCTACTCCAGTTCCTGCTGTTGCTGCTGCTGCTGCTGCTGCTGTTTGTCCTCGTTCTCCTGTTTCCTTTGCCGTCTCTCCTCTTGCTCATCCTCCTGCTCATCCGTCACCTCCTCCTCCAATGTATGCAGCTCCCTACTTCCGATTGCGCATAACGCGATGGGGTCCTTTTTGGAATTCCAGGTCCGCGATGACACGCGTCCGCTGCTAGAGAAACAGTGCCATGGGAAGGGACGGGTGGGAGGGTTAGGATGTCAGATACGGCGCGAGCGCGCTTAGCTTGCCACCCCTCCACCTCCCCCATCTCAACTCGCCCATTCCCCCCCCTCCCCCCCCTCCACGTCCTCCTCCCATCTCCCCCTTCCCCCCCCCATCCACCCTTCCCTCCAAGGCCTTTCAGGTCCCAAGATGGCTCCTGATAGCACAAGATGGCCTACAAAATGGCTCAAGACAACCGAAGGTGATTCACAACAGTTCCCAGCACATTTCCGAGACGCCCCGCGGGCGCACCTAGCTTGCCCCCCTTTTCCTCTTTCTTTTCCTCCTCCTCCTCCTCCTCGTCCCTCTCCCCCCTCTTCTCCTCCTCCTTTTTGTAACTCCTCCTCAGAGGGCACGGGAAGTCCAGGGCAGTAGAACCACAGGGTCGAGAATCACGACCAGGAGGATTGGGAACAGCCTCGCCTGACTCGGAAGCACGCCCCAGAAGAGCTGAGGAGAGCGCGGGAGCCCTGCGAGAGTCGACAGTGACGGTGCAGGCTGAAGGCAACGTGGTCGTGCGGAGCACAGCCGAAGCCACAAGCAGGAAACAGGCACCTTGCCAAGGAAGCAGCAAAATCAACAGCAGTTGTTACACGACTGACAGAAAACGTGCCAGCGTGGAGTGTGGTGGGTGTGCAAGCAATGTGGTGGAAACAAACTTGTGCAAGCTGCGTGGGGGGGGGACTCATGTGGGGCAACAGTTGTAGTGTAAGCCAGGTGGTGAAGCATGCTGGAGTAATGTGGTGTACGCTCTTGGTGCACCAGATGTGGTGCCGAAGCCAGCTAGTCGCTGTGGTGTAAACTACATGGTGCACGCTACGTGTGTGGTGTAAGTTGTGTGGATCAGGCTATGTGCTGCAAGGCCTGTGCTGCATGCTGTAACGCCCGCGAGGCGCCCACGAGGTGCCTACGGGCGGCGACAGGGCGAAGACCCAGAACTCCCAGCCCGCGCACGGGACGCCCGCGAGGCACCCACGAGGCGACCACCGTGCGACAGCTCGGAATCCCCAGCCACCTGTCGGCGGCGAGCGGGGGGGGGGAAGCGAGAAGGGGCGGGCCTCCTCAGAATGCTCGGAAAGCCTCGGGGAAGTGTTCAGACCTTCGTCGAAGACAGAGAAAACGCGCCTGCTCCTTCTCACCTCCCCCCTGGGCGCGCCGCGAAGGTCCTATAAAAAGAATGCCGCGAAGGACGCCGACCCAAGGAGGGCCGCTGGCGCCCCCCAGGCAGAAAGGCGAAGAGAACAGTGGACAGCTACGATCACCAGGGAGTGGCCAGGAGGGCCGCTGGAGGTTCCTTCCTAGGGGGGGAAAGGCCACGAGTCCGCGCACGCTAACGACGACAACAGCGAAGACGGCCGCCCAGAAGAGAGCACCCTGGGGGAAGGGTACCGCTGGCAGCTGGGAGGCTTCCGTGGAGGGCTGGCACGACGAGGGCGGGCACGACGACGGCGGCAGTGATGACGGCCTGCGACGGCACGCCAAGGGCTGGCACGACGAGGGCGGGAACGCTGACGACGGCAGCGATGACGACGGCACGACAAGGGCGGGCACGGCGACGGCATAACGAGGGCGGGTACGATGATGGCCGCAGCGATGACGACGGCACGACGAGGGCGTGCACGGCGAGGGCCTGCCTGGGCCTTCGCGTCGGACAGCAGCCTGCCCACGGACTCGCGCAGGGACAGCACCTCCTCCAGCACCGCGCTGCACTGCCGCAGGAGCCGCAGCTTCTCCCGGGGGGGCCGGGGGGGGGGGGGGGGCGAAGGTGGGGGGGGGAAGGGGGGGGGGGGGAATGGGAGGAGTCGGAGCGTGGATGGAGAGGAGTGATGGGAGAAGGAGGGGGAGGATGAGGAGGCGGAAAAGGAACGCGGACCTGGAGGAGGTGTAGCGAGGCGGAGGGGAGCGTGATGAAGATGAGGGGGAGGAGCGGAGTTGAGCAGCAGGGTGTCGACGACGAGCAGGGCGAGACACATGGGCGATAGCAAAAGCAGGAGGAAGGGACGAGGGACATGAGGCACATGAGGAGCAGCAGCTGGCGAATCATGGGGAAAGGAGACGGGAGGAGGGCGGCACGGACGAAGACGAGGATGAGGACGGGGAGAAGACGAATGCGAGAGGAGAAGTACCCAGGGGAACCAGGAGGACGAGGAGAAATAGCAGCAAGAGGAGAAAAGGGGGGCGACCCTGCGAAGCCGCCCGATAAGACCTTCAGCAAATGAACCAACCAATTGAAGGAGGTTCGCGTTGGCGGCTCCCGAAAGGCAGCCAGCAACCAATGCCCAATGTTCAATTACCTCCATGTAGGCATTGGCCGCAAATGGAGCCCCCTCCCCCCAAGCCAAGGCTGCACGCCCGTAAACTGAGCCAATTGCGGGCGGTCAGGGAAGGCCCCCCGAGCCCCCAAGGCCAATGTGGACCTCCCGCACATGCGTCTACTTGAGGGAGGCCAAGGGAGGCCCCCCCGAGGCCAATGCGAACCTCAAGTCCGCATTGGCCGCAACGGGAAGCCTCCTCCCGTGCCCCCCCCGCAGCGGGAGTGTGCCAATCAATACATCCCAAGACCACCGCCAGACGACCAGGACGAAGCCCGGTCCTCTTGCTTGCTCCCCCCCCATTCCTGCACTCTCACCAGCACACGACTATCGGCCAAGCGTAACTTGAGCAATACGCCAACCCATTGAATCGATTCCCTTCCCCAACCTGGTGCTCTCCGCGGCCTATGTTCTTAAGGAGTGATCCCTTAACCTTACGGTATCCTGAGTACGACTCTGCCTGTAGATCAAACAAGTCCAGAACCGCTACCGAACCACTAAAGCGAATCCCCTCTTTTTATAAGAGACGCCATTCCCGTAATATGACTCCCCCCATCGGCGTGAATACGCAAACAAGACCAGAAGCGCGTACGTGGCCGCTTATTTCTATCAATGCTCACCGGTGCTGTGCCCTTCACGATGCGGATCTAACACGTGCCACAAGCACATCGAACACCGCTCGACTGACCAATCGCAAGAACAGGTGCCACAATACACTTTAAACGTATTCAGCACCTGTAAGCGGCGTGCAGAGCACCACTGGGACCACACAGCTCCGCAATTGTTCCCTGTGTTCTGCCATAAGGTCCTGTGGCCTCGTGTTCGACCTCTTCACCGTGGGAGTCTGCCCGACATCTACACCCCAAACCACCGCCATGCCGGCATGACTAAGCCCACTGCTTCACGCACTTGTTTCCCCGACCTGGCGCTCTCAACAGTGCCCGCTGATTGCCCGGCTCAGCACATGCAAACCCGCCCGATCCGACCGCTTCAACCAGGGCCCCGCCGATCCAACCACCCGACTCGGGCTCCGCCAACCCGACCCGACCGATGCCAGACCGACCCAACCGGCTGCCCGATTTCGGGCCCGCCCTCCCGTTCCGACTGACCACCTGGCTTTGGGCCCCCGCCAACGCACATTGAACTTCTGAGTCGGAAGCCGCCCGCCCGACTCATGGTCCGCCAGCCCGACCGGATCGCCGCCTGTCCGACCCAACCCGACCGTCTGGCTAACAATCCGCCCGCTCGACACGACGTTTTAACTTCGGGCTTGCCCCCCCGCATGCCAAAGACCCAACCAGCCACTATCAAAGCACCCAGCGGGACACCCGAATATCTGATCACGCGCGGCAGTTGCATTCTTCCATGATGGTCCCCACGCCGCCTGCGTATCCCCAACATCCTCGCCAAATCACCGGGCGCGAGCCACATTCACAAACTCCAGAATGGTGCGATGAATAAAGAACTCTACGTACGTATGTCCTCGGGCATCTTGCTCGCGTAATAAAGATACAGCGCTGAGTATTGATGAAGAAAAGAGGCAGACGATCAACTGCATTGCCAACGATTTGGGCGGGGAGGTATTCATCCGCGCCAGCCCTTCAAGACCCCAGCCATGACAACGCGCCCCCCCACAAAAAAACAAACACCTGCCAGCCAGTCAGACAACTAATCATCCAACGGACCCAAAGAACCCGCTCACCTTAAACCAACTGATTAGCCAGCTAACTAGTCAACCCGCCAACCGACCAACGTACCAACCAACCAGGCAGCACAGACAGTGCCCGAGACACCACCCAACAAACCAACAAAAGAGCAAGCAGCCAGCCAGCAGTCCAGCCACGAGCCAACCAGTCAACCAGACGAGGGAAGACCACACACGTGTGGGGGGAAAGCAGCCCACATAGGTGATCCACAAAAAGTCGCCTTGGCCAGCCGGAACACTCCTCGTGGGCATGCAGACGAATCGCAAACCGTTCTCCGACAAGGAGGAGGTGGATGAGGCTCGGAGGGGAGAAGGAGGAGGAGGAGGAGGAGGAGGAGGAGGAGGAGGAGGAGGAAGAGGAGGAGGGGGGGGGGAGGGAGGAGGAGGAGGGAGGAGGAGGAGGAGGAGGAGGAGCAGGAGGAGGAGCTGGGGGAGGAGGGGGAGGAAACGAGCGTAGGAGGGAGTCCTCGGTCCTGAGAGGGGGGGAGGAGGAAGAGGAGGAGGAGGAGGAGGAGAAGGAGGAGGAGGAGGAGGAGGAAGAGGAGGAGGAGGAGGAGGAGGAGGAGGAGGATGCATGAGACGGATGTGTTGGGGGGGGACCACAGCAGCAGGAGGAGGATGAGGAGGATGCGAGGAGCAGACCCAGTGCCGGCTGCCGCTGCGGCTCGGCGGGCGCGGCTTCCGCAGCCAGCGGCAGCTGGCGCCGGCGGCCTGGGCTGGCTCCTGGGCGCAGAACCTGAGCGGGGTGAGGGAACGCACGGGGCTCGCCTGCCTGGCCAACCTCGACACCTGCCCCCTGCCCCTCGCTCACGCCTGCCGCGCCGCGCTGGCCGGGCTCGCGCAGCTGCCGCCGCCGCCGCCTCGCCCGGGCGCGGAGCCGGCCGAACTTCCCGCCTGGCAGACGCTGGCGGAGACGCCGCAGCGAAAGCTCCAAAAGGCAATCACCGCAAGGATCGACCACAAAAACCACGACACCTTGCTGAGGACCCTGGAGCCGGAGGCGAAGGCGCTCTTCCGCTCCTGCGGCGGGCCGCACGCAGGCGCCTGGCAGACGGCCTCGCCGGGCCTGGACGCCCAGCGGCTCGACGACGCCGACTACTGCAGCACGGCGCGCACGCTGCTCGGCCAGGCCGCTGCCCCCCCTGGCGCGACCTGCTGCAACCGCGCGCGGACCGGGCAGCGCGCCGGGCAGCACTGCGGCGAGCCGCTCGGCGACCGGGCGCGCCACGCCTGGCGCTGCGCCCGCGGAGGCGGCCTCAAAGCGCGCAGCGGGGACCTGGAGCGCGCCTGGAGCCGCATTCACGCGGAGTGCGGCTTCCGGGTGGAGCACCAGACGCACGTCCCAGCTTGGGACCGCTGGCGCTGGCGCTGCCCGACCTGCGACACTGGCGGCCACGCGCCGGAGCAGCCGGCGGCGCCCTGCGGCACCTGCGGGACCGCGCTGCAGGCGGAGCGCGAGGAGGCGATCCTCGACCTCGAGGTTCAGCGGGCGGACCGGCCCCGCCTGTTCCTCGACGTCACCGTACGCTACTGCGTGCCGGGTGACGAGCGCGCCCTTGCCGCCGCGGCAGGGCGCGACGGCGCGGTGAACGCTGAGGCGGAAGCCGACAAGCACCGGCGCTACCCGCCTGGCCGCGCGCCATGGGGCATGCTGCCCCTCGCCCTGGAGACGGGCGGCCGGCACGGGCGCGCCGCCCTCCAGCACCTCCGGGAGCTCGCCCGCGGGGAGGCGGCCCTCCTCGGCGAGGAAGCCGCGCCGGCCGCCGCGAGCGCGCTGGCGAGCCGCTGGGGCCGGGAGCTCAGCGTGGCCCTCCACAGGGCCACCGCCCGGCAGCTCCGCACCGCCCTCGGCGCTGACGGCGCCGGCAGGGCGGCCGAGCTGCGAGCGGCAGGAGCGGCCTAGCCGGGGAGCTTGCGCCGGGGCGGGGCTCGTGCAGCTGGGCTACCGGGTCGTCGTCTGCGTGGAGGTATCCATAGTGTCCTGGGGCGTCTACTGCGTGGCGAAGTCCATAGTGGAGGCTAGGTGCACCGACTTTTCTTTATATTTGCAGGAGGAGAAGGAGGAGGAGGAGGAGACGAGGAAAAGGAGGATGTGAGGAGGACGAGGACGAGGAGGAGGAGGAGGAGGAGGAGGAGGAGGAGGAGGAGGAGGAGGAGGAGGAGGAGGAGGAGGAGGGAGGAGGAGGAGGGGAGAGGAGGAGGAGGAGGAGGAGGAGGAGGAGGAGGAGGAGGAGGAGGAGGAGGAGGAGGAGGATGCGAGGAGGAGGAGGAAGAGGAGAGGAGGAGGAGGAGGAGGAGGAGGAGGAGGAGGAGGAGGAGGAGGAGGAGGAGGAGGAGGAGGAGGAGGGAGGAGGAAGAGTGAGAGGAGGAGGAGGAGGAGGAGGGACAGGAGGAGGCAGATGAACGGGAGGAGGAGGAGGAGGAGGAGGAGGAGGAGGAACAGGAGGAGGAGGAGGAGGAGGAGGAGGAGCCCAGCGTAGAAGGACGAGTTCGTCAGCAACTCAAGCACCGCGGGTGGGGGGAGGCGGCGGGCCTCCGTCCGAATTGACCGCGGTGATGGGCGACGACACGCCGGCGTCGAGACAGACAGGCGGCGGGGGGGTCAGCGCGGGGTGTGGGGGGGGGGGGGGGCGAGGCGAGAAGGCAGCGGGCAGCAGCAACAAGGGCTCGAGGGGCGAGGCGGAGGAGGAGAGGACGAAAGCGGCAACAACGGCGGCCGCATCACAACAGAACGCGGGAGCCTGCCAGACCGCGTTCACGAAACGGGTAGCCGCGTTACATGTCGTTTCAATCGGGGCAGGATGGCGAGCAGGACAAGGACAGAACCGATGAGAGGCGCAAGCAGGATGCTGGAGGCGATGCGCCGCGGAGGGGGGAGGAGCAGACGGGGGGGCAAGCAACAGCAGGCGCAGAACTAACGAGCGAAGGAAAGGTGGGGGGATGGCGGGTGCTGCAGGCGGCGTGCGAGACATGGAGGGGGGTCAGGTCATCAGGCGTGGCGGAGGGCGGGATGGGAGCGGTCGAAAAGATAGAGCGCCGAAGAACAGAAGACGATGGCGAGGCGAAGTGAGAGCGGTGACCGACCCTCACCGCGCACCCTGGCCGACTCTCTCCAGACCAAGTCCCCGAGATCGTACACACCCCAGCCCTTTTAACCACGAGGGGCCTGACTGCAGCAGGCGCCGGGTGGGGCTGGGGCGGGGGGGGGTGGCAAGGCCAGGAGCGGCAGGAGCAAACGGGACAACGCAGGTACAATGGCGATATGGGGAAAAGTCGAGAACACCGAATGGTGAGAGCGGGACAAAGAGAGGTGGGGAGCAGAAGGAATGGAAAGTACATGCGCACACGCGCGAGCAATCGATCACGGAGCCAGAGAAATCGAAACAGCCCCCGACGTCGCAGTCCAGGGAGCAAGCGACCCCGTCAGCGCCACCAAAGAGCCCGAGGATAACGACGGTGAGGGCGACATCGAGGGCGGCAAGGTGTAGCTGACGCCCACGTGGCCAGTATGCCTCACAACATGTGCCGACGGTGAGCCCGAACGCGACAACGGGAATGGCGATCTAACTCCATCGCCCACAGGGGCGAGCTCGAGGCATCCAGCGCGCGGCGAAGTCGAGTCCGAACACGACAACGGGACTTGCGATCTAACGCCAGAGTCCAGAGGACCCAAGACGAGGCATCCAACACGTGGCGACGGCGAGCCCGAACACGACAACGGGGCTTGCGATCTAACGCCAGAGTCCAGAGGACTCAAGACGAGGCATCCAGCACGAGGCGACGGCGAGCCCGGGCACGACAACGGGACTTGCGATCTAACGCCAGAGTCCAGAGGACTCAGGACGAGGCATCCAGCACGAGGCGACGGCGAGCCCGAACACGACAACGGGACTTGCGTTCTAGCGCCCGACGAAGGTGCCGAAGAAACAGATGGAGACGGCGCCGTCGGATCAGAGAGCGAAATCGCAGTCGGCGTGGATGAGGAACCTGCTGAGCACGAACTCGGAGTTGCCAGAGAAACAGGTGAGCGACGAGCCGCCCTTCGGGAAGCACCCGAGGCCAACGGGGAAGGGGGGGCGCCCTCTGAGTAGAAGACGAACGCGATATCGCCCGAGGCGTGGAAATCGGAGCGCAGGTATCAATCGAAGTTGGCGGGCAGCTCGACGTAGAGG